TGGAAAAGACACACCCCCCTGGTTCACAATATTTGAGTACGAGAAATTTTTTTCATTATTCTACATTCTAAGTACCCAAAGAAGCTATATCTATAAAAAACCGGATACAAATCGGTGTTTTGCGAGATTGAGAGCAATTTCAAATCTGTTCAGTTTTTTTTGATACACCCTGTATATATATATATATATATATATCTCAATTTCGCAAAACACCAATTTGTATCTGTTTTTTATATATATAGCTTCTTTGGGTACTTATAATGTAAAATAATGAAAAAAATTTCTCGAACTCAAATTTTGTGAACCAGGGGGTGTGTCTTTTCCAACAAATTAAAAATAGCTCGCGCACAAAATTTAAAAGCTGTAATCATATTTTGAGTTAATAGATTGAAAAGTTGTCAGGTTTTTAATTACTGTACAAAATGTCAGACAATTTGGTTTAGTTTAAGCCCTTTAACTATTCATTTTGTTCTAAAAAGTCAGCCTTTCGCATGCTTATAATTAATGCATTTACCTAATTTGCATATTGCTGACATATGCAAATTAGGCAAATGCATTAATTAAGCATGCAAATAGCTGATTTTTCGGGAAAATTGTAACTTTGCGTGAATAGTTAAGGGCTTAAACTAAACCAAATTGTCTGAAATTTTGTACAGTAATTAAAAACCCGACAAATTTTCCATCTGTTAACTCAAAATATGATTGCAGCTTTAAATTGTGTGCACGAGCCATTTTTAGTTTGTTGGAAAAGACACCCCCCCTGGTTCACAAAATTTGAGTTCGAGAAATTTTTCTCATTATTCTACATTATAAGTACCCAAAGAGGCTATATATATAAAAAACCGAATACAAATAGCTGTTTTGCGAAATTGAGAGCAATTTTAAATCTGTTCAGTTTTTTTTTATACACCCTGTATATATGAAGTAAAGATTGTTGCTCAAGCTTGTATTCAGAAAATATCTGAACTCCCAACGGGAATCGAGCCTGTGTCTCCCGATTGCCGGTTCGGTTGTTTTACCACTAGACTATAGGGTTTCCCGTTGGGAGTTCACTGATGAACAAAGATGGCCGACTCGAGGTTCGTGTTTGTTGATGTCGACAGTTTTATCGAAGGAAACAAGAACGATAATACAAAACGAAAGACTTAAATTGTATATTATTTATATGAATGGTCTATTTATTTTCTAAAATCATATTTGTTCAGTAAATGATGAATTTTTTTGAATTCTAAAATGATCCTATTTTTTCAAAACTGTTTACTTTTGGGTGTCAAACCCTGATAAAGGTACAAGTATATAATAAATAGGTTATCGTACTCGGGATTCCGTGATATCAGTTTTATCGCTCTCGGGACGATATCACAATTGTCCCTCGCTCGCTCGTGACAATTGTGATATCATCCCTCGAGCGATGAAACTGATATCACCTCATCCCTTATATGATAACCTATATTTATTTATATATATATATATATATATTTATTTATTTATATATATATATATATATATATATATATATATATATATATATATATATATATATATATATATATATATATATATATATATATATATATATATATATATATATATATATATATATATATATATATATATATACAAAACTTTATAAATTATACTTTATAATCGACGTTCGGCTGACAATAAGCCAATGAATCGCATATATTTACTGAAAAGTAAACCTAGGCAA